AGAACAAAAATGTCTATGCCTCCACTGCTGCTGCTGGTTCAAATGGAAAACATCTATTTTTACAGTTCTGGGCTGAAAAGTGTCCGTATCAGCTGCTCACAGTAAATGGGGAGGCATTCAGAAAACCACCTGAGCTCCGTGGTGAGTCTACAGTCACGCTCTATAGAATAAAATAAATCAGAAATCATTAAAAAAACTTTTGCTATACCAGTTTGTCTAACATTGTGTGGGATTATTTATTTATTTATTTATTATACAATACAACAATTCACAATTTTTAAAATCAATTTGAATAATCTACTATACAATTTTTGTTTATTGTGATTACTTAATATTTTATACAATTATTATAATTACATAGTTATTAATATCTAATACATCAATTATACAATACAAAAACAAATTATTAAACGATTAAAAAAGAGTAATGTTGATGAGTTAATGACCCAAGCCTAGATTCTAGTTGCTTTATATTAAACAAAAATAAGTAGATAAAAACATTTACTTTGAGCTATTATTATACTGAGCTATACAATTTCGCCTTATTTAGTCTATATATGAAATTATTGGTGTTCAATTACCATAAACCATAGGAAGCAAATATTTAAATCCATAGGTGTTTGGGGTTATCAGCACATAATCCCATAGACTTGAAAATGGGAGCACATAATCCCATAGACTTGAATATGGGAACGCGTAATCACATAAACTTGAATATGGCAGCACGTAATCCCACAGACTTGAATATGGCAGCATTATCACTCCACACCCATTGAACAACTACACGGCCACTGATCCCTGGACAACCTAATCAGGAGGGTCATTCTGTAATGGTATAACTTGGCTGTAGAGCAGCACACAGCAGATCGGAGAGGAGATACAGTGGAGCCTTTGAAGCAGGAACAGCCCACCCCCCTGTCCCACCCCCCCGTCCCACAGACCAGTGCCCCGCGCAGGTCCCCTCTGTTGGGCTGCCAGAGTCAACATCATGGTACATAGCTCCGGAGAACAGGCCTGTGTGTACTGACTAACAGGCTCGCAGTGTGCCACAGATCTGATAGAGAAGAGTTTATAAGTGAACCGTGGGAGGTAGAGTTCAGAGGAGTTAAATACTTTCCTCAGTGATGAAAGATTCTTGTTGTGTTGTTATATTTTGGGGAGTAAACATAATTTAAAGCCTAATAAATATGGGTGAACCGATGGTAAATTACACAAAGGGGTGACGATGGAGAATGATATGGTCAAATCATCTGTTAAATTAATTTCACTGCAAAAGCAAAATTAGCAGAATTTGATTAAAATACTGTGCACTTTGCAAACTTAGCCGTGTTTCATCTTAAGAAATTCACCTCTATGAAATATTTTAAAAGTTCAATAGCAAAAATATATAACACTGTTTAAAAAAAATTGCCAGAAAGTAGATTTTTTTTTGTTACCGTCTTCTAGAGCTATTAGCAATGACAATAATCTATAGAGGAAGGAATAATATTTTAATAGCAATAAAATACAATTGGCTTTCGAAAATATTACTATACTAAGTAAACTACAAGCCTCCAATTGCTTTTTCAAATGGCACTTATCTGTTTTTCCAAAAGACAATATTGTATTCCCCAAAGTCTAGTACTCAGAAATCCAATAGAGATTCCATGGCTTTCTGAAATATGAAAAATTAGAACCGTTGTCTTAGCAATTGACAATTTAAAACAAAAATATCATATCTTTTGAACAGTGAAAAAGTCCTCAACATGTCATCTATAAGAGGAAGGCGAAACCCTTGCCAATGCACAAGATGAACCAACCAATCAAGCGTGAGAATGAACATTATCAAATTAATATGCATATTGCAATACATAAACCTCTCTCTATGTATCAAAAAGCATCTGCATTCACCTATGGCCAGACACTCCTCCTCCAAAAATAGCAACGACCATCCACTTTCCAATGTGCCTTTTCCCCAGATAAAGAAGTGAGACAAATTCAATGTCGATCTCACAAATTGGTCTTTCAGTGCAGTCCTGGTTGGTGCGGCTGCCGGGTCTCAGTCTGGTGCCATTTCCCAGAAGGCTTTGGGGGACAGCACAGAGGAATGAGCTCACGACTGCTCTCCTCTGTCTTTCTGTCTGTTCGGCTGCAGTTTGGGCTGGTAGCATCATTTCATTTGGCACACACAGAAAATGAGTCAACCTGATATCTCCACTCACTGACCCACTGTTTCCTATGGGCTCTTGTCTGTCTACACAGCTTCAAATTGAACTGTGTAGTGGAAAGTAACTAGATATACTGCATTACGTCTTTAACGAAATGTGTAAATAGTAGGGGTGTATTTTAAAGGTGCACTACGTAACATGTTGCAGTTGTCGCCCTTATTCACAGAAGGAATGATTCTATTTTTGAGCAACAGAAATACACTTAATGAATAAATGCTATGGACATGTTTGATAGCCAGGCTGGCACCACCTCGGCTCAATTTCATTTCTCTCCAGGACAGGAATCAAAATACAGTAGACGATTTGCAAGAACCCTGGAGGTTGTAGCCCGTGCACCGTCCAGTCAGCGAAGAGCTGAACCAACCCGAGTTGGGATAGCAGACTGCATACGCTATCCTCCTTTGAAATTCCTTTGTCAAATACAAACTATGCGCTTTTTGTTGCACCTTTAATTCGCAACAAAACGACAAAGATCGTTGACAGACATGTTCACTCTCTGCTTTGTTTGCTCTTATGCTGGCAATTATTTGGACACCACTGAGCGTTCTGGCGCTCACGACCAAACAGCAGCGACTGGTTAAATAAAAAAAAGTACCTGCCTACCGTCGAGCAAACAAATTATAATGCTGCGAGGTCAGACAGTTTCCACAAAGTGAAACCAGCTGATGAATCAATCTGCATTTTTGATGTCATAGCATGGAACATTTCAGGCAAAACAAAGTTTTGCAGTGCACCTTTAATGTGATACGAGTGAATGCTTTTGACTGTCGATATTACTTATCCAACAAACAGACCAATTTCAAATGAAATTTCAAATGACAATGTAAAAGAAAATAAATAAAAAGCTGGCACTTCTTTACAATCTTAAGAAAATGCTACAGTGAATATAGCCACACCTGTCCTTGGGCTGAGTAAGAAAGTCATGACAGCCAACCATGCACCAGATTCATACAAATGCAAAGGCAATGTGAATATAGTGTCTTGACCATGGATAAAGCAATAGTATGTGGTTGTAGCAGGAATCAAACCCCAGCCAACTGAGCAAAAAGCATCCATCAATTGGGTATTAGCACTAGTATGCTAGAGTGCCCGAGCAATAGTGTTTGATTGAGTGTGACTTGAGAAAATATTTAAAACCAATTGTTTGACCTAAATGACGTGTTTCTCATTCTCTTACCAGCGTCTTCCAGTGGATTTGTCTGTTTTTCCGTTTAGCATTGGGCGACTTTAGCGTCACATGGCTGCCTTCCTGTTCTGAAGGCTAATTAGCGCAGGCTTAGCGGACATTAAGCAGCGATAGCAAGGGTTTAGCATTTCTGGGCTAATCCCTATCCTTTTGGCCAGGAAATGGGCGCCTTGTATGTCATGAGGTAGACTTACACCAGTGATTAAGTCTGAAGCTATGAGGCTATTTACCCACAAGTCTTTGCAGCTCTGAGGCCATTTAACCACAGCCAGGACCCAGACTGTGCTGAGCTGTGAGTAGTGGCAGCGTATACAAACCAACACAAGGTACAACATTCACTACAAAGATGCCCTTATACTAGTAATGTCTTAGGTTAGATGTGGAAATTCATGATTTAAACAATTTATGACATGATTTACAGGTGCACTATGTAACTTCACTGGTGGGACGGATCTCCACCTGCTTGCATTATTATCTGTGGAGCCAAACAGGAGACACCACCAGGCCAAGTTAATAGTCAGACCTGTAGAAAAGCAAGCTAACAATGCTAGGCAATAAAAACAATAAAATACCAGCAATTGTAGAGTATAGTAGTTCATGATAAACTTTACATTCACTACTTGCTACTAAAGTTCAAGTTCTGATAGAGTTTGTGCAGTAAACTAAATAGTGTACTCTTGTTTTGAGCTCAGAGTGAACCCTGCACAGAACAGGATTCTGAAATTGCCCTCCTTGATCACTGTATAGAACATTCTAGACACTCCTCTGACGGTTGAACTGATAAAGGCCATAAAATCCAATTTACAGATGTTATGAAATGTAATTAGATGCTATCAGTGCAATAATAAATCCAATATGACTTATATAATGAGCCATTAAAGAGCCTATTGAGGAGAAAGCCTGGTGCTGTGTTTATCAAAGCCACAGGGAAATAGGAGCCTCAGTTACATTCACAGCAATATGGCACTGGGATTAAAAAGACTTACAGCTGTAATTGTGTTCAATAAGAGATGCAGCATGAAGGTAATTGGCTGATATATTATCAATATTATGACCTTTGCTTAATGTAGGCTGGTAAATACATTTTTAACAAGAACATTTGTTTTTGAAGGACCTGGATGCCACTTTTAAAGGTCGCAGATAATGCATATAAATGGCCACTATGTTAAATGCAATATTGTTGACACTTTTATAGTGTGTAGTGTAGTATATTTTCTGTTAGGTTTTAACAAAACTTCTTGCAAAGTCAAAGATCAGTAATGAATCTGACTAAAACCAAATTAATAATTATTAATAAAAGGTCTTTCTTCTAATTTTTCATAATTTTACCCTCTCTGGGTCCACTGTAAATTGTAAAGTCCACAGGATTTATTAATGTCTGTTAAACTTGTGCCAGCATTCTATATTTCTGTTTACAATGAGCGACAGAGTTTGTGTGCACGTCCACCTTTGTCAAATAAGAAGAAACAGCAGTCATCATATACACATGTGTCTTGTGTAATTGTAGGCTATATTTTGTATAGCATAGCCAAGAGACTGTAGCTGTATGTAAAATTTGTGTGTGTGATTGTGTAAAAAGGTAATATTGAATTCACCATTTGCATTACCTCCATCTTCTGGATCTTCGTCATAGTCTTCATCATCACCAGACGACAGAGAATCTAGAAAACACAAGCAAAGTATAAAATATAAGACTCAATTATAATACACCGTGTATGTGAACTTATGGCCATTTGATAAGAACTAAAAGTGCAAGTCAAGTACGTGGGAGTATTTGATTTGAAATGGGGTGTGCAGTAATTGGACAATGGCACACACAGAGAGGCCTGTGCGTGTTCTACCTGGAGCATTATAAGTTTCCTGAATGGAGTACAGTTCTGCTCCGTCACGCGTTACAAGCAAAATATTTCCACAAACTGCACAAATGTACCCACTCATTAACTGTGCACAAGAGTGGAACGCCAGAAAACAATTTAGGAAAACACTACAAGAGTGTAAATACTGTATATTTTACCATAAGGGATAAATGCTTGGGTTGTACAGTAACAGCAAAAGTAGTTGGAGCAGTAGTAGTAATAGCAGTAGTAGTTGAAGTTATAGAGGTAGTAGTAGTTGTACCCATAGTAGCTGTTGTAGTTGTAGCCATAGTAATAGTAATAGTAGTAGTAGTAGCTGTAGTAGTAGCTGTAGTAGTAGTAGTAGTAGTTGTAACCAGAGTAATAGTAGTAGTAGTAGTAGTAGTAGTAGTAGTAGTAGTAGTAGTAGTAGTAGTAGTAGTAGCCAAGTAGTAGTAGTAGTAGTTGTAGTGACAGTAGTAGTAGTAGTAGTAGTAGTAGTAGTAGTAGCCATAGAAGCCATAGTAGTAATAGTTGTAGCCATAGTAGTAGTAGTAGTAGTAGTAGTAGTAGTAGTAGCAGTAGTAGTAGCTGTAATAGTAATAGTAGTAGTAGTAGTTGTAGTCATAGTAGTAATACTAGTAACCATAATAGTAGTAGCAGTAGTAGTGCAATAGTTGTGGTCATAGTAATAGTAGTAGTAGTAGTAGTACTCATAGTTGTTATATCCATAGTAGTAATAGTAGTAGCCATAGTAGTAGTTGTAGCCATAGTAGTAATAGTAGTTTTAGTACCAGTAGCCATAGTAGAAATAGTTGTAGCTGTGGTAGTAGTTTTTGTAGCTGTAGTGGTAGTAGTAGTAGTAGTGGTAGTAGTAGTAGTAGTAGTAGCAACAACAGCAATAGTAGTAATATTGGTATTAGAAGTTGTAGTAGTAGAATATCGGCATATTCTGCAGTTCTAATTTCATTTAATTGTATCAATTAAAGTTTATAAAATGACTTTTAGACATGACTAGTTATTAGACCATTACTTTAACTTTTCATTTAAACTTTCTGAAATCTGTTTTATTCTTTAGCGTAGATCTACTTTAGCTATTTTTAAGTCATTTTTGCCCTGTAAAAGTAGCACAATTAGTCGTTTCTCTTGCATTAATTCTTCACTCCCTACATACTCAGCACTAAACACCATTCATTTGGAGCATGTTAAATTGCTGTAATCACGCCTCCAGACAGTGTTATCTCGAGTACAGCACATTAACAGTGAGTTTTGTAATGATTTTGGAGCCTTTTCCTGGTTCAGCGGCTCAGGTTGGTTTAAATGAGAACCAGCTGTTTCCCCCGACGACCAGGTTTGTGTTTCCACCACTTGACACCTCCGTCTGCTGCTGTTCAGAGGCTGAGCTCACGAAAAGCGAGAGATGGGGTGATTTAAGACTATGTGGAGTTAATATGGAGAAAATTAAAAATAAATGCATTCAATTATTTTTTGAGGCACATATTTCATAAAATATAAGGTTTCAAAGTGGCTCAGTAGGCAGTAAAAGCAGGGATGAAATTTATGGAGAATTCTGACACAACAATATGGATTTTGGTGAGATGGCCTAACTCTGAATCAATAATCCAGCCTATCAACATTTAAACAGGAATTCTTGTTAGTTGAAAGTAAATTAAAATAAAATAAGTGAAATAAAAACACAGGGATCATGTGGAGTAGCCGTAGTAGTAGTAGTAATAGTTGTAGCCATAGTAGTAGCCGTAACAGTAGTAGTAGTTATAGCCATAGTAGTAGTAGTAGATGTAGTAGTAGTAGTAGCTGTAGTAGTAGTAATAGTAGTAGTGGTAGCTGTAGTAGTTGTAATAGTTGTAGCCATAGTAGTAATACTTGTAGCCACAGTAGAAGTAGTAGCAGTAGTATTGCAATAGCTGTAGTCATAGTAATAGAAGTAGTAGTAGTAGCCGTAGTAGTAATAGTTGTGGCCATGGTAGTAGTAGTTGTAGCTGTAGTTGTAGTAGTAGTTAATAGTTGTGGCCATGGTAGTAGTAGTTGTAGCTGTAGTTGTAGTAGTAGTTAATAGTTGTGGCCATGGTAGTAGTAGTTGTAGCTGTAGTTGTAGTAGTAGTTAACAATTTTTCACTGTAAAGTCAATAGAGCCTCAGTCAGTGGAGCCAGGAGCACCTCCATGGTCACCTCCTATTTGGAAAACAGCAGCTAGCGGGTTAGCTATGACCATTTATAAATACAGTCGATGGAATAGATCTTTGAACTGAAAACAGAACAGATCGATGGAAAAGGATAACAAGTCAACATTTCCCTGTTGTACTCCACTCACAGTAGTTAGCTCTTCATTATAGTCTTTATTTTCACAGTTTCCTGGTCTTAACTTTCTGAATTCAATCCTCTTTTCTTCAGTGTTTCCGTCTCTTCAGTCCTGACAAGATCTTAAACACTTTGTACGCCGCTAAGTGTCCTTTCAACTGCTCGCATTCCTCTACTGGCTCTGCTCTGTACACTGTAAAAACTGGCCTCCGCTCACGCCTGGCCCCTATCCAAAAGCTAAATCTGATACCGCGGCGAAATATCTGACACCTTACTCAAATATTTGACCAAAAACACAAAGGCCTATGTGTACTTTAGAGAGCGTGTTTGCAGAAGAGGGAGGAGAATGGACATGCTCTATACCAGGATATTATGAAAAAGTTAAGAAGGCATGTAGTTAAAAGTGAAGTAACTGTGATAAATGCGTTTCAGGTTGGGGTTCAGTCCCACAAATCAAACAAGAGACAAGTCTGAGATGGATGTATGGTTGGAGCGGAATATGGGGAAATATATTTTGATATAATGAACACAAAAGTACAGAGATTTGATAAAATAAACAAAGGTTTTATGAAAGGATTGTGTCAGTCTATTATTTTTATTATCTTTAAACAGCTCTACCTTACATTTATTCAATTACAGGTGGGTTTATAGCTCAAAACTACTTAAAAACAAAAACAGGCATTCTGACTGTGAGTGGGGTCGCCTTTCCACAGATTTGACCTGTAACTTGGTCTGGTTTGGTCATCAATACAGAAAGGTTTAATACCATACTGTGAAACACTCCAGACAAAGCAACATCTCCATGGAATTTTGACGAACCCTCCACCAGAAAAGTTACACAATTGTTAAAAAAACAAAAAACAAACTTGATTTAACAGAAATACATGTGCTGACTATAGGTATGTTTTAAGGTCACTTGGCTCTACTTAATCCCGCTGTGAGTGTCCAGGAGTAGAGGCTGCGTGCCCTGATCAGAAAGAGGAAAGTCTATTTTCCGCAGGGCTGTGGGCCAAACAACATAGCTTTAGTGAGTGTTTACTGTGAGTGTGAGAGGAGGAGGAGGTAGAGGAGGAGGAGGTGTGCAGGGCCCTCTCATTCAGCTCCATCTGTTTTCAATGATGAGATCTGGGCCGCTAATTGCTTTCTAATTAGTTGTCAATAACGGGCTCAGTTGGTGTCCATAGGTTTATAGGACGAGGCTTTGAAGTGACGGTGTGTATATTATGCCCCCTGTAAACGCACTACCAACACCTTTTCACCTAAACCACTGTACGGCAACTGTAATAGAAACAATATAATATTATCCATGGTTTGTCCAGACAAGTGTGTTATTAGCCTTCAGGTAAGTCTTTTTTAGTCTGAATTAGGGATGGGCATGATTAATCGATTAATCCATAATTGATCATTAAGAATTTCATCGATTACGTTCATTTTAATCGACAAACCGAATGTAGGTTGCTGTGCGTAGCGTGACCAAACAGGGGTCCGTACATGTGTCTCTCTGCACTCAGAAGGAGCGAGCAAACACAAACATTCGGTTAGTCTGCAGCGTGCCGAAGCACAAATGTGTATTTAACGATGACTTGTACAAGAAATTCCACGCTTTCCGTTGCGTTCGGGACAAGTGTGAGTCCATGTGCACAGTGTATAAAGCAGGAACATATGTTTCGGTGTCCAGTGGGAAAAAGTTTTACCAGGTGAGAGTCGCGCAATGTCAATGACGAGGACCCACCTCCCTCCCCCCGTACGGTGTCCTGGTTTTGACAAACGCAAATCTGATCACACTAACCTGTATTCCACTGAATCATGTCTTTTAATCTGACAGAAATTGACCGCATCAGCGACACAAGAGCTGTAGTTTTATCTTCGCTGAGTTTATGCAAATTAGCGATGTGGTTTTAAGTTTCGTTTCTGTGAGAGTTGCGCAAAACTGAATTAAACACATTATAATGTCAAACGGATTGATGTGGCTCTAGAGTCGTTACGGTTTATATGTCATAAAGTTGAATTTATTTATGCAGATTAGTAATGCAGATAGTAATAATAATGATGATCATTTTAATATAAAAACATTAATGATTAATCGATAATCGATCGTTAATTCTTCCGACGATCGATTAAGAAAATTTCATCGAATGCCCATCCCTAGTCTGAATGCTATAATTATGTATCCCTATACCGTATTTTTCAGACTATAAGTCACTCCGGAGTACAAGTCGCACCAGCCAAAAAATGCATAATGAAGAAGAAAAAAAAACATATTATATAAGTCGCACCGGACTATAAGTTGCACTTTATGGGGGAAGTATATTTTATAAAATCAGAGACCAGGAACAGACACTTCATCTTAAAAGGCAAGTTATAGTAACAACAATAGAATAAAGAGCAACAGGTTGTTAACATCACATATGAACAGTTCTTCAGATAACTATAGCATAAACAACAGAACAGCTCAAGTTTACCAAACATATCACTCCAAATCATTTCATCCTCCATGTCACTTCTGAGTAACTCTGTCGTTAGCTGACGTTATTTTAATAGATCCATGAGCTGTTGTCAGACTCAGTTCCAGTTAGAATTAGTCTGGCCTTTCTGAATCCCGACAGTTTCTATTGTCTCTGAAGTTCAGGTTTTGTCAATCCATCCAGTGACTTCCGGGAAAGTTGCATGGTGCACCCTGCCATTTACCATAAAGCTGTGTTCTCCATCCCTGTTTTTCATCAGTTCCTCACAAGTTTCTCTCTCACTCCAAACTTTCTTTCTGCTGCTCAATTACCGTTTTCAGCTGCATATTTCACGACTTGCAGTAGGACAGTGGCTTTTTCTGCAGGAGACATGCTCAGAAAAATGGCACACAAGCCTAGAGCGAGGTCTCGTGGCTGTCAGTCTTAAAAAGTCTTATAAAATTTAATCTATAAGTTGCACTGAAGTATAAGTTGCAGGACCACCCAAACCATGAAAAAAGTGCGACTTATAGTCCGAAAAATATGGTATTTGAAATGTTCTTATCAAACACCATTGCTTGGTCTGCAAAACTTGTCAACATTACAACTGTGGCTTATTTCTTCACAAATGTTTTCAAAATTTCCTTGCGGATCACGTCTACCTGTCAAAGTAAACCACAATCATAATATTTTCTGTTTACTGTCAATTATCCATAATGAGCATGTTTTCGGTATCGTTCCATCTTCCTATTAGATGGTGCTATTTTGATTATGTTTGGCTATTCAAAAGATACATTTTGTTTTAAACTGTTTTCATCATTATTAAAGGTGCACTGTGTAACCTGTGAGGCTGCAACCTGTTTGTCTCCATGGAGAACAGTATAGCATTGAACTAATCTGTCTTGTATTTATTCAACTACAGGCGTTATTTATTGCTCAAAATAACTTTAAAAACATCTACTCTTACTGTGAGTGGAGTTGTCTCTCCACAGATCTAACCAAGGAGATTCTTAAGTTTAGTACTGTGGAACATTCTAGGCATAGCTCCATGGAGACAAGCAGGTGACGACCCCCTAGCAGACAAGTTACACAGTGCACCTTTAAATCCACATTTAGGGCCTGTTTACACGAGAAGACTTGCAGGTAAAACACGACAAAATATTTAATCGGAAGTGCCTATTGTTTAGACGGTGATGGCGTTTTTGGGGCTTAAAAATGCAAAAATCTGAAACCACCCCCCAGAGTGGAAAAGTTGAATATGGTCCACTGTAGTGTTTCTGTCTACACTGCCCAAGATGCAAAACTCTGGTCAGATCTGCTCACGTCACGTAAGAGTTTACATCACATACATCCAGTACACAGAAACCTGGCATGCATACTCATTTGAATTCCACACACTTTTGCGTCTCCGTACATATGCAGATTTCCTCCCGAAAACACTTGTCTAAATGCAGAATAAAAAGTGAAGACGCCAAGCCACTTTTGCATCTTCTGTTCAGACCGTCATCATATAAACGTAGCTATAGTTACATATTGAGGACCTCACCTGTCACTCTGAGGGTGTAGTTGCTGACCAGTGCGTTGTTATGGACCGTGCGGCAGGAGTAGACCCCTGAGTCCTCGTATGATACGTTGATGATGCGTAACATCCTCTGTCCCACCCTGGTCCTGTTGTGGGACACCAGACTGACCCCATCTTTAAACCACACCACAGGTTTGGAGGGGTCAGCCGCGTCACAGGACATCTCCAGAGTGTCCCCCATGCCCAAGACAAAGTCCTCCAGGAAGGCCGCTTCACTGGACACCGGGTCTGAAACAAGGGAGGAAACAATCATGAGAATAGAAAACACAGAAAGATTAGATAAATGTGTTTTGTTATTTTTGTTTAGGGATATTTGTGTAATCCCTCAGTCAGAAGACAAAGCAAGTCAACACTGTAAATAGTAATGTCTAAGTAAATTCAAATTACTCAAATTAAAAAGATTTTAATTGATTTGAGTAGAGTTCAGTTAATAAGTATTTTTACTTAATTCAGACAACATACAATTTAATTTCTTATTTTAATTCCAAAGAGTTGTTGTTTTTCTTATCTTCAGTGTAACTAGGTGTATTTTCCTATTTCAGCTACAATAAGACTTGTTCCATTGGTAGATAATTTTACTTGTCATGTGAAATGTACTCAAATCAATATTTTTTCTTAATTCAAGTCATTATAACTTTTAAATACAACACAAAATAAACAAATCAAAACATAAATAATCATCATAAAATTTACATTAAAAGAGAGAGAAGTGCAGAATAAAAACCTTTCTGTCATATGCACAGCTAAACAAAACCATTTTGAGCCTGGATTTAAATATATTCAAATAATCGGTACTGGTGATATCAGTGCTTTCACAGATATCGATATAGGTACGATACTGAAACTTTAGCCATTATTTGTTATATTTTTTTCTGAGCTGCCCCTGCCTCTGTGTTTCCATGTGTCATTCCCACTCTATCCTCATCTTTCTGAACAGACTCATGAGTAAAAATGGAAATCGAAGAGAATTTATGCTAAAAATATGGTGGTTACACAATGAAGCAACAAATTAAAAGCAAAAAAGTGAAGCAAAATAGTGAAAAGTTAATTTGTGAACTTTATTATAGCTTGATACAGATTTGTCAGCCTTGTTACGGACTTTAAATTTAAATATCAGTTTTAAAAATCCCTATCAAACCATCCCTAATTTAGTTGTCAACATTCTTTCACTGAAACACATGATGTTATACTTGATTTTTAAATGTTTTTCTTTGCACTATTTGTAGTTAAATTGATAAAACGCTGCAGAATCCACTGTTATTCCATGGTGGGGGCAACTAACCAACCTCACATCTTTTTAAATCATTTGTTTTAGTCACATAATAATTTCTACATGTTTTATTACTGCTAGTCAAAGTTATTCAGAAGTCCCACTCATATGATGTAACATTTAAAGGTCTCTTTCAGTGTGTAATCAGGGAGCCTAACCAGAACTGTCATTGCTGCTTTGGCTGACGGAGAGCTGAGTGTCTCACAGTTTTTCCAGCTCATCTCAGTCTGAGCTCCTGCCACTACTCTACTCAGGAAAAGACACCCTTCAGGTCAGAGCCAGGGAAAAATCAACATGTTTACAACAAGTCTCACACAGCTCCTGGTCCAGAGACAGGGACAGACAGGGACAGGCAGGGACACAGAGGACGGTCCTGTCACTGTGCAGGGGACAACACTCATCACCAGCCCTGTGAGTCAGCACCGCCAACAAGGAGAATCTGTTTACTCTCAACACATCTGCATAAACTACAGACTCGGTCATAATAAACAACTATAGCGCACTATTTATGAGTATTTTGGAACTTAAAGGTGCACTGTGTAACTTTTATGGTGGAGAAAGCCTGTTTTTCAGTGTATTCTTTAAGATTTAATGGATGCAAATTTTGAGACACATAGACCTTTTTCACAACGGCCCTAAGTGCCGCGATGTAGGGTAAATATCACTTCCAGTTAATGGTTTTTGTGGCAAAATATCTGTGGAAATGTCTGGTGTATTTTCCACCAGCTTCATAAATCTGCCCCATCACCAAATCTTCAAACAACAAGGTCCACAAAGGATAAAGATTTTCCCTTGAAGAATTTATCCACAACTATCAAGGTAAGAAAGACGAAAGCTTAAAGGAGAACAACAACGACAACGGCGCATTAGTGAACTACTGAGCAAAACTAACGTTATGATCGTTTGTCATTTCCGCTTTTTAGGATATTCCCTTTTCGCCAAGAACTTTCTTGTTCAGTTGTTTTGGGGGTTTGTATTTGTGTTTTTGCAACATGTAAATTTGTCTCGGTGCTTGTACAAATGTTTCATGTTTTGTAAATTTGTTAGCTCATTCGCAAATGTGTTTCAAACTTGTTAATATGTGCTGTGAAATGTAAAAGTGTTAGGGTTAGGGTTAATTACAAATATCTGCCCAATATATATCGACCAACCAATATATTGGCTTATCTCTAACAGTGATTGGTAAATAATTTAAAAGTTTGTATTCACATTCAACCATTATTGTATGTTGGTTAATTTTTGCCTAAAAAGTCACCAAATAACCAAGCTATTTGACAGTCAAAGGTTGCTATTTTATTAATTAAGACACAAGCAGAGCGATTCCTGTGCATTACTTAATTGGACTAAATATATGTTACCAAATACTAGTGCACACCACAGCCAGACAGAACACTTGAAGTCTGTTTAGTGTATGGGAGGGCTGGGAGAGGTGTGATTTATGACAGTCCACTCTCACTATTGACCTGTGTAAAGGTCAGCAGCAGAGCCCATCACACAGACAGAAGAGCGGCTCTGTGTGCGTCTGATTGGAGCAGTAACAGCAGCTCAGCACACAGCAGCGGAAAGGCCAAGTCCAGAGCACGAGACGCACTAAAGACTAATGGTGTACAGCAAGACCCACTGTGAGGAGGAGGCGCAACAACAACTGGAATTATCTGTGGTACAAACGTTAAAAATAACTCTTTCTTTTATTCCAAGAGTAAACTGTAGAGACTGCCTATTGTCTAACATGAATTTTTAAAATTACAGTTAAAGTTAGTTACAGTTTTTATTGCAGAAATACCTTGAAAACATGTATTCTTTGTGTGAGTGGGGTCATCTCGCCATACTTTTCCACTAGAAAAGTTACGTACTGCACATTTAAATCTATACAAAGCAGACGAACAAAAGGAAAATCTGACAGCTAACTTAAATATTACATTAGTAGACAGGTCAGAATCCATTGAGCTACATAGATAGAGCAAAACATAAGTAATAAGTCTTTTTTAGTCTGAATGCTATAATTATGTATCCCCATACGGTGGCCCTGAAGGTTAAAACTTATCAAATGAGTTGTAAAAAACAAGCAATAAACTGAACACTGTTTCGATTAAAGCAGCACTTAAAAGTAAATATAAAGTCTAATTAAAGTAATCCAGCTCTATATACTTCCCCTCAGTAATATAAATGTTTTCCAGAACTACTTTGAACCCTGATTTCATTGAAAACCACTGAAAAAGACTATTCTAGTGCGAGCCTATGATTTAAACCTTCATAAAGCAAATAGCTGTCTGGAAGAATTGTGAGTTGTTTTCCCTGTCTCTATTTTCTTATTAGCCATGTCTCAGCACTGGTCTGACAACAATATTTACTATGCATTTTTACAGACAAAAAACCATTGAAGAGAAGAAAAACACCAAGACGACTGCGCTGGACGTAAATCTCAACGCAGCGTGAAAGTCCTGCTACCTTTTCTTACGACCTGGGTGAAAGGAGAGGAGGGAGCAGGCTAAGAATACATGCTCCACTTAAATATATGAGGCGAGGGCTTTATAAGGCTGATATAGTTATCTCTGGAGACTCGTAGGTCACTTCTGAATGCACGGACTTCTTTCTCTCAATGAAAAACAGTAGCTCATAGACTAAACTGGAGAGTGTGGGGCTTTTAGTTTAGGGAATTTATGGGATGAAGTTGTCAACCAAGTTCTCCCATAAACTAAACAATGGAGCAGTGTTTGTCACCATGATCGATGTGTATAGGCTTAATGGTTGACTTGGAAGGCTGGGATTTTAAAGGTTCACCACGTAACTTTTCACTATTGCATTAAAATTCTCCAAAAAAACAAGTAGGTGACAATCAAGTCAGTTAAGTTACAGGTCAGATTTGTGGAGAGGAGACCCCAGGCGAACAGAAAGGATGGAATAGTTTTTCAAATAATTTTTGATTTAAACACCCACAATTAAATAAATGCCAGATAGATATGTTTAATGCCATATTGTGAAACATTCCAGGAATAGCAATGCAATCTATATAGGCCAACAAATGGTGGTTAATTATTTTAAAATTGTAAATAAAAAGTTGTAAACAGTAGTGTAGTAGATTTTTTAAGCAGGGGTATGCGATTCGTGAACCAGGAGGACTAAACAAGGACTGAACCAGCATGGAACCAGGACTGAACCAGGACTGAACCAGAACTAATCTTGGACTTGAGAGAAAGAGAGAACCCCGAGCCCACAGAGTAGGGTGTCTGCAAAGCATGATCAGGTTGCTCTTAGCCCTGTGAGACGTGGAGCTCTGTGCTGGTCCTTTCGCCTGTGGTCACCCGACAGTCTACGTGGGCACACCTCCGGGCCCGTCCCATGGTTTAGTTCTGGTTTAGTCCTGGTTTAGTCCTGGATCAGTCCTGTTTTAGTCCTGGTTTAGTCCTGGTCCCTCATGTCTCAGGTGCAGATATCATGAGCCTGTGCAGGTTGTTTTCACCATTGCCAATAGCTCCGGTTTGACATTTAAGTTGTAGCTATTTTATATTTGTTATTTTTTTTATATCTCACGTCGGGAGAAGTGGGTGGATGGCGTACCCCCCGCGTGCCATCCTTGGTTGTAAAGTAAAAATGTATTTTCTTTCACGTCTTTTGATTACCGTTCTCAAAATTGTCATTGTCAAAACCCAACTGTTGTAAGAGTGATCTACTAGTTTTAATATCTACCAATTTTGGGATTCATATTTTTAATTCAAGTTTTTCTGCCATTGTCTTTTTGCTCACATATTATGCTATTTTGTAATTGCCCTGCATGTAAATACCCTGGTACTGCTCCACCTAGATTAGAAGAAGATCTATAGTACTTCATAGTCACACGTGAACAAATCCTATTGAAAAAGTGCAGTGTGGCTTATCACTGTCCTGGTGTAATGGTGTTTTAATGCAGCCGCTGTGCCTCACCTCACTTCCTGTACAATAAGCCTTTCTTTCCCTTTGA